TCACTTCGGGGTCTTAACTTATCCCATAACAACCTTGAAGGCCGCATTCCAACTTCACTTGGAAATTTGAAAAACCTTGAATTGTTGGATCTTTCCTCAAACAAGTTTGTTGGGGAGATTCCTCAGCAATTGACAAATTTGATGTTTCTTGAGGTACTAAACCTTTCGGACAACCAACTAGCAGGACCAATTCCTCAAGGGAGGCAGTTTTATACATTTGAAAATGATTCATATAGTGGGAACTTGGCTTTATGTGGATTGCCTTTATCAAAGAAATGTAAGGAACTACTGCCACTGCCACCTCCACCAACACTCCAACAAGATGAGAATTCAGACAAGTCAAGCGAATTTAACTGGCAAGTTGTAGTGCTGGGGTATGGATGCGGATTTTTATTTGGAATGATTATGGGATATCTTATGTTTGTAACTCGAAGACCCGAATGGCTTATGAAAATTGTTGAAGGAAAACATCATAAGAAGGTGAAAAGGTCTAAGAAGGGTGCCCGCTGATGCAGTGAAAGAAGAAATCAATAAAGGCAAATGGCATTATTCGGTAATTGGAATTTATCTTTGCAGCATTACTTTGTTGAATTATCTTTTATGGTTTCTACTTATATGCTATATTTGAGTTATTGATGTTCTTATTTCAAAACTAGGTTTGTTCCATTAAGTAGCACAATAAAGCAATGGTATCCACTTGAAGGGGTGTTTCACCTAGCTACTGCATTTGAGTGGGTGAGCATCTGGGTAACAGCCATACAGGACCACTTCAAAAGCTTTACCCTTTTTGCGGTATTGAATTCTAAAGCTTTGTTAAGTCGTTTAGTTTTCTTGAAGTACTGAGTTAAATAAGAGTTTCATGTCATGGTTTTTTGTTGTTTTCTATCTCACATCATGTAGCAACCTTTAGAGATTTGTATTTTTGTATGTAATTTTTTTTTAAATTGGATTTCTGTCACAGAAGACTAGGCCATGCCTAGGTTTTAACTTTGAAATGCAATCTTACAATGATAGAATTGTTGTCTACTAGATAGAGAATTCATATTGAAAATAATATTTTATGTTACTCTTTGAGCAGTTTTTTACCCGTTGCTATTGTTGTCCAGGTGAGCTTCCAACATCATCTCTTCCACACCTTTTTATCAATAAACAAAATTGTTGATAATTTGATTTTGTTTTTCTTCTTCAATGGCGATTGGGGGATAAATTGGAGGTATTAACTAGCACTTGTTTCCATATCAATGTGGGAATTTTGTGATTAATTATGGTAAGAAAATGCTGATTTGAAGAGCACTGATTGAAAAGGTCACAGGCAAGAAACTATTGGGGGGTGTGAACCTTCATTAGTACTGTACATTTCTGTTTGCACTCATTTTTGTAAAATTTCCTACCAACAGGTGAATCAATTAAATGATGACACATGGCAATAAAGTCAAAGTAAAAGTCTTTCATTTGATCAAATGAAAGAATTGTTTAAGTCCATGAATTGTTGAAAATAGTCATAAAGTAGTTATCAAACAAATGTTGGCTTAGTGGGCTGATTTGTGTGAAGTCAAGATTGTGAATTGGAGCTCTATTTTATGTCGATATAGTGCTCTGAATTTTGGGGGATATGCGAGAGATTTGAAGAATTGATAAAGTTTGAAGGCTTGGAAATGAGATAACAGTTACAGCAGTAGTTGGGGGGGATAAAATGAATTTCAGAATTTTAAGTTGTTTAGTTTTCTTAAAGCACTGAGTTAAATAAGAGTTTCATGTCATGACTCTTGTTTTTTTTCTCGCATCGTTTAGCAACCTTTTAGAGGTTTTCACTTTTGTATGTAGTTGCTTTTAAATTGGATTTCAGTCATAGAAGACTGGGCGTTGCCAAGTTTTTAACTTTGAAATGCAATCTTACAAGTTACAACTCAAACCATTCCCCTTGTTACATTCTTAATCATTTTGTTGAGTAATAGAAATGCCGGCTACTAGATAGAGAATTCACATTGAAAATAATGTTATATGTTAATCTTTGAGCATTGCTTTTACTCGTTGCTATTGTAGTCTATTCTATTTTTTTTGCATCTTCATTGGCGATTGGGGGATCAAACTAGAGATATTTACTAGCACTTGTTCTATAGACTTGGGAATTTTGTGATTAATTGTAGTATGAAAATGGTGATATGGAGAGTATTGATTGAAAAGGTCGCTCATATTTATTTTTTTGTGAAATTTTACTGGTGCAAGTGTTGCCATGAATAGGAACATATTAGATATTTTAAAAATTCAAGTTGTTGAGTTGATGCCAGGTTGTTTGATAAGTAAAAATATTGGCTTAGCAAATTCATGTTTGAGTTTGGTATGTGTATCATTAAAAATATTAGTTACTCCATGAAGGAGATAAAAGGATTTGTGTAGTTTTATTGGCTGGCCACAAGCTCACACATCCAATGAAGATATTAATCTCCACATTTAAGAGTATTTTTGGTATCCTGGTGGCAATAATTAGGGAGCTTGGGTAGCAGGTCGTGTGGTTTAGGGACCAGTGAAGAAGTAAATGTCACACATGAGACCATAGGATTTACATGCCTAAGGTTATATAGTTATCTTTTATGATTTGGCTTTGAAAAGGTGAAAGAAAGGTTCTAGACTTTGAAGCGTTTGAAAGAGCTAGAACAAACTTGGATTTAAAGGGGTGATAGGCTGTTAAAATTTTATAACCATGGCAAGAATTTTTTAAACAAAATTTTGGGATCCCAGTTTGTGTTCTAGTGGATGATGACTGGAATGACACGAGTTAGTGCCTTCTGTCGCTTGTGGGGGTCCGATTTTTGGTTAGCATTTGGATTTTGTCACGTTTTTCATGTGGCTTTGTTCTAGGAATCTTCATTAAATACTTTATGACAAAAAATAATTTTTTGAAGTTGAAGTGGTGGAAATGAGCATAGGTTTGGTTGTCTCCACTATGTTTTTTAAATACTAAATAATTACTTGGTGTTACTTTAATGTTGTGTTTGGTTGGGGGATTTGAGGAGGGATTTGGAAAGGGAAATGGAAAAGGTAGGTGAAATGAGAATAAAATATGCCTAAATTTCTCATAGTTTCACACACCTTTTCCCTTTCCCTTTCCAAATCCCTCCCTAAACCTCTAATCAAACACAGCATAATGCTATCAATATTTAAATGTTGGTTTAGCTTGTTTGAAAGGTGGTTGATAAAATAATTGTCATCCTTGAAGGGTGGACGATAAAAAAAAAATTCAGCTCAAATTTGTTGTTAATTGGAGCATAGCCCAAGTTCAATTTATTGAGCTCAAGGCTGCCTTGGACACACAAAATTAGGTTAGAGGTCGGGCTTGGGGGCCTCAGGCAACTCTCAAAACAACTTGGATAACTCTTCAATCTTACTGCACCCGCTCACGTTGCACCTCTAGTTACAAATTACAAGCTACCTTAATTTAAACCAAATCCTAACCGAATTGCTAAAAGTTCATTCGAAAAAATTGGCCATACAAATCAATCAATTTTCATTGCAAATGTAACAAGATGTTATTTCCCAGTGTTGAATTTTCTTGTTTCCTAAATCTGTGTTTGGATCATGGATTTGGGTCAGGATTTGAAAACAAAAAAGAGAAAAGCAAGTGAAACGCAAATAAAATGTAAGTGACATTTTTTTTCTTCATTTCTTTTTCCAAGACTGCAAATGTGCTATGACTATGTAATAGCATGTTAATGCCTTGTCACATGACTGCCTTTTGTCTTTGTTGTTTCAGTAAATATATGCTTTGACAGTCATGAAGTCTCTGTTAGAGTAGTAAATTACAAGCTTTTGAATGGAAATTGTCATCTAATGTAAATGGAAATGAGTTGTCAATTGAAGATAGTTTCAAGCTTCACTAATCTATTAGTGTTCTGAAGAAACATCAGTTGTGTTATAGAAAAAAAGAGGATTCTTGACATTTTTTTCTCTCCAGCTGAGAAACCATTCCATCTTTAGTTCCTTTCTCAAAAAAGGATTCAATTTGTACACGTAAGAAATAGGCTGATTCAGCCCATTTTGTTCAATTTCTCATGGAGTAAAATTCTTATTAGTAGGAATCAAGGGAATGGCCGCTTGCTCTCAAATTTCCATTTAAAGGTGGAAGTCGATGTCAATCCTCAAGTGCAAGTAACTTGGCGTTTCCTCGGAAATGTCATTGAGAGTTAAAAAAATTATAAATGAATGGTGATACCACATGTTGATGATAACGTGGTATAATTGTTACATTGATTTTTTCCTCTTGTTTGTGATTGTCATAATTGGAAAATGTGTGACAAGAAAGAAGATATAGCACATTAACAAACTTCATCCAATATGTAGAGATAAGGTTGTTTTCTGATTGTTCACTCAAAATTAAGATTGTGGAGGAATTATTTGATTGTTCAGCTTGCAAATTAGCTTTTCTCTGAATGGGAGGACATGGTTGATAATAGGAGGAGAAAGTATGCTGAATAATTTAATTTTCTGAATTGCTAAAGTTCTTGCAATTGAGTTTGCTCACTGGGCTGCATTCCAAGCTGTGTTGTTTTTTCTTTCTCTGCTCTGTTCTGTTTCCTTCTTTCTGTGTTTGGATGACCAGAAAAGAAAATTTGGTACGACATTGTGTCGATGTAAAAGTTGATCCTACAATTACTGAAATGATAAAGGAAATATGCCAGAAATGCAGGAGAAACAAAGCAAACCGTAACTTTTAGATGATGGAAGTAGCCAGTTCTTCACAATTTCAGTATCTTTGCTTCTAGTATCTTTCCTGATACAACACAAACCTATCTTATTTCACATTTCTAGTCCATTTTCTTTTTCCTTCACAAATCATTCTCCAAATCCATGACCCAAACACAAACACAGTCTTACGAACTTCATGTGTGTTTTAAGTCTTGAACATAAGATTTTTCCTTTTTTATTTTATTTTTGTAATCACTTTCACACTCTGCACAGTTTTCACATGGCCACTCAAATTTGACCTGAATTTATTTAATAATGTGATTCTATGAATGTATGACTCAATGGGACAAATTAGTGACTATGGCCCATACCATTTACAACTTTTCATATTTGGCAATCTTTCTTGGTGTACACTCGGACTTAATGGTTGGTGGGTGATTGCTTTTGAATTTACTTTGTAGAAATGGATTCAATGTATTCTTCTCTAGTTGAGCAGAAAATATATTTTGTAAAATAATTTTCATATATTTTTGAAACAAAAATCAACGAAAAACAAATTTATTGAAAATATAAAAAAACCTTTTTTTATTAAAAATATTTTTTGTCAAATCAAACATAGGGTTACTTGTGAAATATTCGTTGGCTAACAATTATGTGGGTTTATGATAATACACCATTTTCTTATGTCATATGTGTCTGACTTCGATTTTTCAGTCGGCATAGGCAAAAATCATCAACCTAAGGTTGTCATGGTGTTCTAAAATATGGCCCCTGCTACATAGAAAATTTTCCTTTGGAAATTCAAAGTTCAGCCCCCAAGCAGAGATTAAAAAAAGCAAAGAAATTTGGGGGTCCCTATTACAACTTTTTGAGTTAATCATACAAGTCATAAATGGCAACTACAATGACTTCGTGAAAAACAAAAACTATACTATAAAGGACATGTCTTCTAACAAGCTCATAACACCCTCTTCAACCTCAGTTTCTTTCAATATGAAGCTTCAATTCCCACCCATTCCTCTCCTCTTAGCCCCGTCCTATTAATCTTTGTTCTAGTCATGAACATGAAGAGATTCAAACCCAAAAACTCTATTCCAAAACTACCCCAGGTCTAAGAAAACTACCTCTCATAGGAAACATTCACCAACTTCTTGGCTCATCACTAACCCATCACACATTGAAAAAATTGGCCACAAAATTTGGACCCTTGATGCACCTCCAACTTGGCGAAATGTCCACCATCGTCATCTCCTCGCCAGAAATCGTCAGAGAGGTCATGAAAACAAAGGTGGGAACAGACAAATCCTTTAACAATTGTTGCAACCAGCATAACTCTGCTGCAGTGTGAGCTAAGGACAGATATTCGGCCTCAGTTGAAGATTTGGACATAGTGCTTTGTTTCTTAGCAGACCATGAAACCAAATTCAAGCCAAGAAAAACATAAAACCCAGAAGTGGACCTCCTATCAGAAGTGTCCCCAGCCCAGTTGGAATCAGAAAATGCTTGCAGTTGAAGGGGACCAGCTGTAAAGCTAAGACCATGGGAGATGGTCCCTTTTACATAACGAAGTAGGCGCTTAACACTTGAAAATGACCATTGGTAGGAGAACTCATTAACTAACAAGCTTGATTTACTGCGAGAGCCAAGTCAGGCCTATTAATTGTAAGATATTGCAAGCCACCAGCTATGCTGCGATAAAGAGAAGGATTGGCAAAGGGCAAGGAGTCAATGGCAGATAAAGAGGGCTTGACAACCAACGGAGTAGAGCATGGTTTACAGTCAAGCATGCCAGCTTTGGAGAGTAAGTCAGTGGCATACTTTTGCTGAGATAAAAAGTAACCATGAACCTAAGCTTGAACTGAGATACCAAGGAAACATGAAATTTCGCCAAGTTCTTTCATAGAGAAAACCTTGTGCATTTGAAGAAGAAGCTGATCAATAAGACTTGAATTACTACCAGCCAAAAGGATATCACCCACATAAATGAGGATGATAGTAATATAGGAGGTAGTCTTCTGAACAAAAAGAGAGGAGTCTGAATGACTATTAATGAATCCTTGAGATAGAAGAAAAGCTGAAAAAGTGGAATACCAGGCCCTTAGGGCCTGTTTAAGACCATACAAGGCCTTCTTCAATTTACAAACATGAGTAGGATGGGAGGAATGAACAAACCCAGGTGGTTGTAACATAAACACTTCCTCCTCAAGCTTACCATGAAGAAAAGCATTGGAAATGTCCAATTGCTTCAAAGTCCACTGAAAATGAAGAACCACGAAGAGTAAAATTCTGATGGTTGGTTGCTTAGCCACAGGGCTAAAAGTTACTTGAAAATCAATACCCTCATGTTGTAAATAATCCTTGGCCACTAACCGAGCCTTGTACCTAGCAAAACTTCCATCGGAATTCTTTGTGATGCGATATACCCATTTACAACCTATAGCAACTTTGTGAGAAGGAAGAGGAACCAGATCCCAGGTACATTGTTGTTGAAGGGCATTATATTCTTCTTGCATAGCTTGAACGCAGACAGGAGAAGACACAGCTTGTTTGACAGTAGAAGGCTCAGTAGTAAGGAATAGAGAAGGCTCAAAAACAGAAGCACCAAGACACAAAGATGTTTGAGTCTTGGACCTAGTAAGCATAGGATAACAATTGAAAACTAGAGAAGGGACAGAAGGAGGAGGAGGCAAATGAAGATTTATATAGAGAGAATCAATAGGAATGGGAGAAGGGAATAGGGATGGAGAAGATACTGAATGAGGAAAAACCGGAACTAAAGAAGCAGAATGTGGAGAAATAGAAGGAATTGAATGTGAAGAAATTGAAGGAACTGAATGTGGAGAAACAGGTCCTGAAGGAGGAGAAGATTGAGAAACAAAATGAGAAATAGGAGTAGGGCCCCAGAAAAAACCAGATAAAGAAGAAGGAGAAACAGGAGGAGTATGAGGAAGAGAAGAGAAGGGGAAGCAAGATTCATTAAAAAGAACATGTCTGCAGATATGAATTTTACCTGTGAAGGGATCTAAACACCGATACCCTTTCATGAAAGGGTGATACCCCAAGAACATACAAGAGGTAGACTTGGGGTTGAAGTTTATGAGAAGTGTAAGGCTTGAGCCAAGGAAAACATTAGCAGCCAAAACCCTTTAAAAGAAGAATAATCAAGAGGATGATGGAAAAGAGTCTAATAGGGCGAGACATTATGCAAAGTAGAGCTAGGCAATCGATTAAGGAGAAAAACTAAAGCAGTGATAGCATCAAACCAAAAAGAAAGAGGCAAATTTGACTGATGAATAAGAACAATAGTTTTTTCAGAAATGTGTCAGTGCTTCCTCTCAGCCACACCATTTTGAGACCGAGTATGCTGATGAATGATTCCATTAGATGCAATAAATGAATCAAGCTTCTTATTAACAAACTCAGAACCACCATCAGTGCGTAAAATTTTAAGAGAGGTGTGAAACTGATTTTCAGCATAAGATTTGAAGTCTAAAAACTTAGCAAAAACTTCATTCTTGTAATGTAAGGGGTAAACCCAAAAAAAACTATTAAAGTCATCCACAAACAAAACACAGTATTTAAAGCTATTCGCAGAAGAGTTAAAGGGTCCCTAAATATCACTATGAACCAAAGAAAAGAGAGCATTCACAGAAGTATTAGAGAGCTTGAATGGCAGTCTATGAATTTTAGCAACAACACAATTTGTACAAGAAGCAATCTTGTTACAAGTAGTAGAACAATCAATATGATCAGAAGAAAAATAAGGCAAATGCTTGATAATGTGTTGAAACTTTAAAGGGAAAGGATGCCCCAATCGTGGATGCCAAGTGAGCGCACTAACAGAAGCAGGTGAGTGAGCATGATAAGCCTGTGGTAAAGCAACATGAGAAGGAGAGAACTGATATAAGCCATCCACATTAGATCCACTATGAAGAATTTTGTTCGTAAGCTTGTCCTGGATTTGAAAAGAGTTAGCATAAAAAAAAATAACACAATTATGATCACGAGTGAGCTATTGAACGGACAAAAGATTGGACGCAATAGAACAGGTAGGAGCAGGCAAAAGACCTGTGCCAATATGATGAATGGGCAAAAAGGAACCATTACCAACAGTCACTTGATCCTGTCCTTCATAAGGCTGTGAGAGATGGAAATTTGAGAGATCATTCGTGAGATGATTTGTAGCAGCAGAGTCAATGTACCAGGGCACAGAGGAAGAACGAGGTGGTGAAGAATTGTAAGAAGATGAGGGAATTGTTGCTGCATAGGCTCTTGAGTTTGAGGGATTAGCTGGAACTGGAGATGAGGAAGACAGTGGTTGGAAAGATGGATCCATTCGATGCCAGCAATCAATAGCAGTGTGGCTTGGTTTGCCATAAATCTAACAACTAGTGGAATTGAACTGTGATCTGTTTCTGTTGTTATTTGATTAAAGAATATGGTTGTGCACATCAACACGCTAGATCGGTTTTGAGTTTTTTTTATTCTAATTTTTATAAATTTATTTATTTGTTTATTTTTGTTTCTTCCTTTAATAATCACCAGGTATAAGAAATGAGAGAGGGAACTTGTCCATGCATATTCTTCTGAGGGTCTTGGAGGAATACTTGTGAGTTACTAACCTTAGTAACTTAGGTCCCCAAGTTTTTTCGTATAGAGTTGATTGAAACAAGTATTGTGAGGTAGTTATTTTGTGGCGCCTCAATTTTAAGTGAAGAATTTATTATTTGGGTCACTATGTTGTCTGAAGGTGCCAAATTATTTTTAAAAAGTGGAGTTCTAAGATTTTTGAGTTCTTCCATCTGCCTTTATTTTCTTAATATGTTAATTGTACTGTTTTCAGAGGTTGCCTCCGTTTTCTTCTTTTGGCTGTAATTTTTAATAGATTGCTATAATTCTATGTAGAAAATCATAGCAAAATTGATTGTTTGGGAACAACGCTTTAAAATTTTCCTAATTTATTCAAGTTTCACAAGAGTCGGATTCAGATTGGTTGATCGAATTAGAATTGATCAAGTTTCAGATAGCAAAAAATCGGCTATAAATTCTGAATATTTGATGAAATTGGCTTTCTGGGAAAGAATGGCTTTCTTATATTGTCTATTAGTTTGGTTGGAATTTCAGCTAAATTTTAAAAAATCGGTTAATAATCGAAAGAATTTAAAGATTGTATAGTAGTTAATGGAAATCTATTTTTGTAGTGAGGTTTCAATAAGGTGTTGGGATTAGGAAGCTGGACTTATTTAGTAAGGCGATATTAGAAAAATGGCTATTGAGATTCACACTAAAGAGGCATAGTCTTTGGAGAAGATTGATTGAGGGGAGATATGGCAGCTTGCTTGGTGGGAAGGGATTTATACTAGTAGAGGTCCATATGGGGGTGGGCCTTTGGAAGAGTATTCTCTCAATTTTCAGTTTCTTTACGTTAATTATTGGCATTTGGATTGGTAACCAGAGCTTCTTGTGGAAATTATTTAGTTTTTCATTCCTTTACTCATCAATATTTAGACCCTTTACCCACCCAAAAAATATTTAGACCGTTTTTGTTTTTTGTCTCAATTTTGTTCGTTTGTTGGTAGGCTTATCTAGATCACGATCTTAACAATTGGATTGTTCAGTATATGAATTTTAGTATTGTTTCGATTGATGGGTATGATTTAGCTTTTGATAAATTTGTTTGAATTTTGCAAAATTTATATGTTTATTGACCTATTCTTTGGCAATTTTGTTATGTTCAATTTGTTAAATTGCCACAAAAATGAAATTTTTGGGAATTCTTCTGAATTATTGTTCATTTGGTCAATTGGGTCAGTGTTGTTTTGGTGAATTTTGCTTTGAATTTGTGATTTGGTTTTTCAGGGGAGGGGTTTGAAGTCAATTCCTTGGAAAATGGGGGTTATGTTGAGGCGGGTTTTGGCCATTTGTGGTATAGTCTGTTTCTTCTATCCTTCCCTCCGGGCAAGGTCGAGACAGTCTGTGAAGCGGTACAAAAATCTTCTCGCTGATATCTTCCCTCAGTCTCAGATGAGTATTTGGCTTCCCTCGTATCAGTTTTACTCGATTGTTATGTCTCTTTGACGTAATCTCAATAATTTTTGTTGCTTTAGAGGTCAGTTGGCGTGACTTTTTGCAATTCTTGTGCTTCTGTATGTTGAGGATGACTACTTCAAAGTATTTTATCAAGTACATTGTTATTGAGTACTCAACAAAAAGAGAAAAAAAGGGAAAAAGTACTTAGTGTTTGACATTGATCTGGTTGATTTATATGCTCTGGGGATTCAAATGTGTTCTGAAAATGGTGGGAAAATTTAGGGAGATGTTGATTGGGATAATCTGCTTTTGAGGGTAAAAAATGAAAAGGGCAACGTATCATTACACGAGGCCTTGATGAACGGTCACCAAGTTGTAGCTTATTATTTGATCACGGTAGATCCAGAAGTGTTATATTATCTGAACAATGAAGTGAAATCAGCTCTGTTTCTAGCTGCTGAAGTAGGGTTTTAGGAACTTGTCACGCATATTCTATGTGATACAGTTGGGATTGAAAATACAAATCAAAGACTTGAAGGGTAATCACCTATTCATGCTGCCATTTTAAAAAGAAACCGAGGTAATTCTGACACTTATTCTTGATTTCTCTTTGGTTTTTGCATTTTTGTTTCTCAATTTATTTTAAAATCCCAGGTGTTTTTGATGCCTTATTGAAATCAGAACCAAGGTTCATTCGATTAAGAGATGAAGAAGGAAGGACTCCACTTCACTTGATTGCATGATTGGGCTATCTTGAAGAGGTTCAGTACTTGTTAGGAAGACAGAGTTCAGGTGCTATTGCAAGGGACAACAATGGCTTACTTCCTATTCATTTAGCATCAATTAAAGGCCATGTTGATGTTGTCCGGGCGTTGCTTCAGTATTGGCCTGATTCGAGGGAACTGCTCAACTGTCATGGTCAAAATATTCTTCATGTTGCAGCCAAGAGCAGAGGACATAACATGGTTAGTTACATTCTCCAAACTCCTGAGGTCGAGAAGTTTTATAAACATGAGGGATAAGCATGGAAACACAACCTTGCATTTGGCCACCTTGGATTGGCATCCAAAGATTGTTAGTACCCTAACATGGGATGAAAGAGTGGACTTATAGTGAATAATGAGGGTATGTCTGCTCTTGATTCTGCTGAATACTACATGGAAAGAATGTCCTCATTTCGAAAGGTATGCACTCAGCTAATTAAATAACCCTACACTTCAGATACCTAATCAAACATAACAAAATGAGGGTATGTCTGCTCTTGATTCTTCATGTTATTTATCTATTTTTATTTGCATCAATTCCACTTACATTAATATGTCAAAAATATGGTCCAAGCAAAGCTATATCTATTGTTTGGGTAAACTACTAATAGGTGGACTTAATTCTTATCAAGTCCTATTAAAAATAAGTCTTAGTAAAATTGTCATTAAAAATAATTTTTTTGTAATAATTTTTTATATACGTTGCTAAAAATTGACAATTAGTGATTTTTTTTGTCATGATTTTTATAAATTGTCGCTAAAACTTACAATTTGTGACTTTTTTTTATAACAAATTTTTCCCATAGGACCTATTAGACAATAAGTTCACTTATTAGTACCTACACGTAAGTTTCCCGCGTTATTATTCATGATTAATGTTTTGTAATGGTAACTATTGTGAATCTTGTGCCAGTCCATATATACAATCTCGAAATGCTGCTTCACTTGGTGCGCTAAAGCTAAAGTTCTCCAAAGGTTGTCTGTGTGTGAACATTCCTTTTCATAGTACTACGAATTATTATTTAGCATTGACTGGAAGGAATTTTAATGGCCTGCTATTTCAATAGCCATTAGGTGGTCATAGTTTAAATTCGTGGGACATTTTTGTCTTGCGACGGTTAACATGGACTGCATTGAAGGCCGCTGGTGCACCACTAGCTTACTGTAGAAAAGCCGTCAATGCTAAAACGAAACAAGCATCTATGCAACTGGAGCAAGTGAACATAGACAGCTATAAGGACCGATTCAACACTCTTCTATTGGTGTCCACCCTCATTGCCACTGTAACTTTTGTAGCTGGTTGCACAATACCCGGTGGTTATAACAACATTGAACCTGACCAAGGCATGCCAACTATGCTAAAACACAAGTGGTTTCACATATTCATTTTCTGTGACACCATAGCTCCATTATTACTGCTGTTACCCTCATATGGGCACAATTAAGGGACCTCAATTTGGTGCTTACTGCCTACAGATTGGCGGCACTACCACTACTGGGGATCACTCTCACCAAAGCAAGGAGGAAATGATATCAACAGAGATATTTCCTCGTTTAATTTATTTGATTTGTTGGTTAATTGAGTTCCTTTTGTTTGCTTTTGGTCTTATATGTTGGTATCTAAGTAGCTTGCCAGCAAGTCTGTAATTGTACGTAATGTTTTGATATTTTAGTGTTTTACAGTTAATGTGGCTGTTATATGTTGGAGATGAGTGGTTTTGTTCTTGTTTCTCTCCAATGTATACTCATTTTATTAATAAATTTTTTGTTGGTAAAATAAAAAAATTTAAAAATAAAGAAAAAAAACTCATCTTGTATATATAGAAATTTTCTAAATATGCATTGGGTCTAACTAGTAGAAAGAAATACGTAGAGAAAAAATCAATGCACGCAGAGAGAATTAAATTCAAAATAAAATGAGATACATATTGATTTTTTTTTTTTTATATTTTTATATTTTTTTGGTGCATGTAGCATTGTTGAAAAAGTTAAGTCAAAAGAGTTAAATTAAATTTTTTCTCATCCAATTAATTCATGAAAGTGACATCCTTTTAAGTAACAAATATTGTGTTCAAGATTATATAGTTTCAATTTGTGATGTAATTGCCATTGAGAGGTTGTCATTGTATTTTTATTCAGGGTGTTCTTCTAAGAGATATCACATTGGTAAGAACTTCAAAGTAATACCCTTAAACATATCCATATCATTCACACCCAACACCACAATTTACCCCTCAAAGCTTTCCTTCAATTCGCAAACTTTCTTCGATGTATCGGGAAAGGACTTGATAGATTCAAGCTGACCCATATGAATCCCACCAGGGAGGATCTTCATACTAACCATTCTACCATAGTATTCTAACCCAACGTACCCCCTACTAGAATGATAATCCAAACCCAAATAATTCTACTCTTTTCATTTAAACTCATTCACAATATTTACAGCAGGTTGTTAAAGTCCACCACGATTTGATACCCATTCCAAGACCAATGAGCAAATTGTTCAGGAGATGCTAAACCTTGCTATTAAATATAACAAGGCAATGCAGGAAGAGGATGAGTTGCCACCAGAAAAACTAGCAATTGCGAATGTGGGAAGACAGGATGCCAAAAAACATCTTGAAGAACATGTCTCCAAATTGATGTCTTCAAGCATAATTCAGACTTTGGTTCGCAATGGTCGATGTAGTTCTGTTCTAGGGTTCAGTGTTTGATTCTCCACAGGATTGCATTTTAGTGGCACTTAAAAAGTTGAAAACATTGTGGGTATGATAAGAACTCCTTCAACTGCTACAAATGTTTCATTCTTTACGTACAATCATAGGTTGAACAAAGCTTATGTAGGTAAGCAATGCTATCATGAAATAGTTTTTGATCTGACACAGTTGTCTCTTCCTAATTTGTTTTTCTAGTTGGGTTTGATTTGAATATTCTCCTAAGCTACATTCCGTTGAATGTTCTCTGTATATAAATGGTTGTGTATCAATACAATATGTACATCTAACATGTATATATCTAATATATATATATATATAGCAATTGTACACCTAATCCTAAACAGGAATACGAAACAAGAATAATCCTGCTAATATCAATAATGCTTGAGGCCGCGAATACCATTTTAATTTTAATATATTTTTTTTTCTTTTTGTGGCTGTGTTAGTCTGGTCTTTTTTTAAAAAAAAATAAAAAATAAATAAATAAATTGCCTTTCTTTGCAAAAGTGGTTATGTGAAGAAGTATACTGCAAAACTAGACATCACGCACTAACTGAACTTGTATAGTTTGATAAGGTGAGTGAGTTTGGTTGGACTGATTGGGTATCACCCAACCAGTCCAACCAAACTCACTGTAGACACCCCATTTTTGACCGACCTTAAGACTCAGACGTCGCTAGTTGAGCACTTGGTGATATTACATAATGTGCTCGTTCAGAAGTTTCAGAGTCGCGCCCGTGAGCCCTGCCTCCGGACTTCCGAACCCTCTTTTGTGCTTTGCCTCGGTTTGCGAACCAGGCTCGGTTTTCGCTGTTTCTTTTCCTGAGGGGAGGGAGAGGTCCCGTAGACCATCTCTCAGTGGCCGTGGGCTACATTTTACTACACACAATGATCAGAAGATTGGTGCTAACAAATAAACTTGAGAACATTTCTATAGTATTACTTGTAGATCATGGAAGTTCATGGCTGCAGAAACTGTCTGCTACTTGAAATCAATCCAACCTTAACATGTCTTGAACTTTGCAAAACTTTAGGTTGATCAAATGTCTAATAAAAAAAAAGGTTAACTCCCCCTAATGTTTCTTTTTAATATAGATTCTCCTTCACATTTAAAAAATTACACTTATTGCATGTTTGATTAAAATAACATATTTATTCCTTAACCTTTATACATATTAAATAATAAAATAATATAGATATTTTGTTCATGTCATTTCAAGGGAAATAACAATCATTTTTTTTTATTTAACTCACACAAAAATTTGAGTTTTTATTTTTATTTTTATTTTTATTTTTCGTGTTTTATTATTTTTACTGATTTTTTTTAATATTTTAAATAATTTTTTATTTTTTAGATACACCTAATTTAGATATACTTAAGAAGTATAATATTTTGTGACTTTTCTTTTTAATTCATCAAATATAAAAAAAAAATGAAAAAAATACAACAATACAAAAATTCAGTAATACTGTAATAAATGTGAATGACGATGCTTGATAATACTGTAATATATATGGGTGAATAGATGAGAAAGAAAAATGATGATGAAAATAAAAATAAAAAATTCTATTCAAATATAAAAATTTATACATAAAAATATTGTGATAGTAATGTTGTAAATATAAATCATGTTTATGGGTGTTTTGTTTTAAAGTGAAAGATCATCATTAAACTATATCATTGTGTTTGAGAATGTTATACAAAATTTATGTTTGTATATCATCACTCAACAAGAATATTTGCACGTAAAAATTTAATGATGGAAAATTGTAAAATATAGTCATAGTGATAGAAAGTAGAAATGATAGGAAAAAGAGCAAAATAGTCATTTAGAAAATTTTAGGGCATGACGCTTTGATGGCTTTACGGATTACCAAGAATGAAGGCCTTAGGGCCTATGCAAAAAGGTACTACGAGGTGTTCAATCGAATACCCGAATGCAATCAAGAAGTGGCGGTCGTGTCTTTCAAAAACGACCTAAAAGACAACTGCCCACTATGGAAGTCTTTGGCAAAAACATTGCCAAAAAGCATGGGCGAGAATCGAGAAGTACGCCAGGGCCGAGGAAGA